TTTTTAGAAAAATAAAAAAAAACAAACGATTTGAAAAAAAACTTTATTTTGATTATTTTTCGTAAAGTTATAACCATTTGAAAATTAAAACCGAATTTTGAAAACAATTCATATCTCATGTTGATAAAAAATTTAAAAAAAAATCATGGTAACTTCTTTTGATGGATACTATAATATATAAAAATAGGTGTTGTCTAGATCTTCGCCGCGCCGTCGAGAAAGTGAATGTCTACGTGGTCGCCGTCGATGAAATGAGTGTCTAAATGTTTGCCGTCAAAAAACTATGTGTTTGGTGTTGTCTTGGTCTTAGCCATCAAAGAATTAAATGTTTAGATGTCATCCAGGTCTTCGCCGTCGAGGAAGTATATGTCTACGTGATTGCCGTCGAGGAACTAAATTTCTAGGAGTCGTCGAAGCTTTCGCTGTCGAGGAAGTGAGTGTCTACGTGTTCGCTGTCGAGAAAATTTGTGTCTACGTGTTTACCGTCGAGGAACTAAATGTTTACGTATTGTCTAGATCTTTGCCGTCGAGGAAGTAAATGTCTATGTAGTCGCCGTCGAAGAATTAAGTGACTTCTAGGTCTCGCCTCTCTCTCGCCTTTCTCGTCTCTTTTACAGCTCTCTCGTCTCTTTAACAATTTTCTCGTCTCTTTTTCAGAACCCTCATCTCTCTCATGACTCTCTCGACTCTTTAACAATTCTATCGTCTCTTTTTCAGTACTCTCGCCCTTCTCACAACTCTCTCGTCTCTTCTGCAGTTTTTTTATCTTTCTCACGGCTCTCTCGTATTCCTCACATCTTTCTCGTCTGTTTCTCTGTTTTCTCATCTCTTTCTCAGAACCCTCATCTCCCTCCCGACTTTCTCGTCTTTTTTATGGCTTTCACCTCTCTTTCAAGACTCTCGTCTTTCTAACGATTTTCTTGTTTCTTTCTCGGTACCTTCGCTCCTATCACGGCTCTCTTGTCTCTGTCACGAGTTTCTCGACTCTCCCACGGCTTTCTTATCTCTGTCACAATTTTCTTGCTCTCTCACGGTTTTGTCGTCCCTCTCACAGCTCTCTTGTCTCTCTCATGTTTTTAGCGATAATATACGATTCATTTAATCATTAAAATATAATAAAATGAATATATATAAATTATATATAAAATAAAATGAAAAAGAACATGAAATAAATTAAATAAGAAAATAAGGAATGATATAACTAAAATAAATAAAATTAAATAAATAAACAAATAAAAAATGAAACAAATAAAATAAAAAATAAAATTCAATGAAACAAAAATAAAATGTAACAAAATAAATAAAAAATAAATGTTAAATTGTAAAGTAAAAAAGACAAAATAAAATAAACATTTTGTATTTGTATGAATAATAGGTTCTTAGGAATGTAACACTTATCATGACTGAAAACTAATTTTTCTAAATTAGTTTTGTTTATCTTGATATTTAAACAATAAGAATAAAATGGTTTCGTAAACGCTGTATTTTATTATAATTGATCTAAAAAACCAAATTGGATTATCTTCAATGTATAATACAATCACTAAAATCATTTTGTAAATATTATACCTCCAAAAAATCTGTTGTATTAAATTTTAAAAAATTCATATGGTATTA